CACCCTCCTGGAGGTGTCTCACCCCCAAGACCTCATCCCCAGTCACCCTCCTGAGGATGTCTCACCTCTGGGATCTGGTCCCCAGTCACCCTCCTAGGGAGGGGTCTCACCCCTAGGACTGGTGTCCAGTCACCCTCCTGGAGGTGTCTCACCCCCAGGATTTGGTCCTGTCACACTCCTAAGGGGATCTTCACCTCGGGATCTGCCCTCACCAGGCATCTGGTCCCTCCCTGGCATTTACTGCCTTCAAGGAGACCTGCTCCCCACTCCTGGGGAATACCACCCTGCTGAGGAGGTATTGCCCCCCACCCAGGGTCTTCCACCTCCTAAAGAAATGGCCTCACTGGGATCTGGACCCTCCCCAGAGTTCTGTTGCTTACAGGGGAAGCTGCTGCCCCACCCTCAGATCTCTCCTGCCCGGGGAAGCTGTTGCTATCCCATCCCAATCCCTTTTCCCAGGGGTCTGCTGTCACCTGCGAGCATCCCCTGCCCCCAAAGACCTGCTGCTCTAGAACCTGTTGCCACCTCAATGCTCCCCAGGAGCTGCTGCCCACCCTGGGGCCACATGGAAAGTCCTGAGCCCCTTCAGTGCATAGGTGCAGGTGCTCTCCTGCCAGCCCTTGTGCCCATGGACCCATGTTAGCCATTCCCATGGCCAGAAAGGGCTGGAGTGTCCAGCTCCTGGCTCAGTCCCTGTCCCCTCTTTCACCTGGCAGGAGCCAACAGGCAGCAATGAGGCTGTGGAGACACCAAAGTGTTTTCAGTATGAGGATCTGCCTCGTAAATATCGGATCTCTGGCCACCTCCTGTGCAGGGTACACAGTTTTTTGATTTGGATAAGTTCCCAGGTCCATGCTGGCCCAAGGTCCCACCCAAGGATGGGGCTGGGAGGAGTAGGGAGGTGAAGAGTGAAGGAGGAAGCACAACAAGACAAACAACATCTGTTCTTGAAGAAGTGGATTGATCCTTTTAAGCCTTTTTCCCCCCAAAGGAAACAATGATGTTATTCATTCTCCACAGGTTCACCTGCACAATCCCAGCACCTTTGAACTTAGTGCCCAGTTTCACCCTGTTAATCCTTACTAGCATTCCTGTGGTCTCACCCTTGGAAAAGCTTCAATCAAAGCTTTGGATTTCCTTCTGTGCCAGATCAATCTTGGGGCAGAGCCATAGGAAATCAGGTTTCCTTATCATAGGACTGTGTAAACAAAGCACCTTCTGGTTGTGCCGCCAGACAGTCACTCCATGGGGCTGGGCACCAGCCCTGAGACAACACAGAGGGGCAGGATCGGGCCCTGCAGGGATGGGAGCATGAGCAGGGGCACTCAGCTTTCCTCCCTCCCCCCAGTACTGCTTGGTCTCATATCTCCCACCAGCACAGAGGTCAAACCAGTAGGAAAATAGAGCTTTATTAGAAAAAGCAGCATTGTACAAAGAGCAACTGCAGTGTGATACCATCTGAGAGTGGCCAGAGGGGACCAGGAGGGACTGGGGGAGCAGGACCTGCCTGCATGTGAGGCTGGGGAAGCACAGAGCTCCACCTGCATTGCTCCATAGCACCCTGTGAAAGCAACACCCCATCCACAGTGTCCCTCACCCCAAATCTTCTCCAGGCTTGGGAGGTTTGGCAGGGATAGGAGAAAGAGGAAAACTCTAATTCTTTCACCCTCCTGATCTCCTTCCCCCTTGCCCCAGTCTGCAGGGACAGGCACTCACACACGTCCCCCACATACAGCAACTGGGGCTTCATCCCCACATGGAGCTCCAGCCCTGCATCGTTTGCATATGCAAATAAAACTGGTTAATTTGCATGCCTGTCATCATCAGCTCTTGCTAAAATGCTGCATCCCACACCTGCCTCCGCATTAGGGTCCCACTCACACCGTGACAGCCCTCAGCTGCAGCTTGGCTATGGCACGAGTCTGGGATTTGCCTGCCTGGTAACGGATCAGTGTGGTGTCTCTGGCTCAGTTCCTCCTGCACAGCGTCACCGCTTGCCCCTCACACAGCCAAAAGACAGGATAGAGGGGCTCAGTGAAGACATCATGAAAGGAATAGATGAGCTGTGTTGTCTCCCCGAGGCCATAGAAGGAGAGAAGCCCCTTGCCATAATCCAGGCTGACCCCCAGGTTCTTATACAGCTGCTCCTGGATTTTCTCTGCCTGGCCCTTGTGCCAGGCCAGATAGCAATCCTCCCGCACCTGCAGCCCCCAGGAGCCTCCATCCAGCCCAATGTTGAACGTGTGGCCCTGCTGCCGCTGCCTGGGGAGACCGTGGTAGGTCACCCCCAGGATGACAGAGTGGCTGGAGATCTCCACCTCCCAGTAGTGGTGGCCAGAGCTATAGACCTGAGTGCACAGCACCTGCCAGGGCTCGAAGCGAGGTCCCTGCTCCTGCTGCCTGCAGACAGTGCTGAGGCTGTGCTTGGCTTTCCGGTCACCTTTCAACAGCTTCAGGTACTTGTTGGCTGACTCGGGATCGAAGGTCAGGTTGCGATGGTCTAGGAAGAGCAACAACATGGATGGGGCTGAAATGCTGAATCAGACCTTGCTGTGAGCTCCCCCAGCAGTAACTCAGTTCAAACCACACAAGCCCCCCATGCTCCTCACCCTTCAGAAGCTCAGCTCGGAGCTGGCAATCAGGGACAGGGGCCACGACCTTCACCGCTGGCTCCTCAGGATGCACTGGGCCTGTGGAGGATGGGGACAGGCATTTTGAGAGATGCCACCCAAAAACTTGTTTTTTCCTGGCTTCAGGAGGAGGAGGAAGTCCACTGTATCCAAGCCTGGGAGCAGGCACGTGCCATCGTGGTTCAGCATTCCAAGCAAGGAGGGGCCACAGGGAAGCCACCCAACTCATCCCACTCCATCTGCTGAACACGTCCCCATCCTAGCCCCCTGTGCCCAGCAGTTGTGCTCCCAGCACAATGACACAGTCCAGGATCTGTTTCAGGATGACTCAGAGCCCTTCAAGGTAGCCCTGAGGGCAGAAGAGTTACCTTGGCTAATGGGTTGGGAGGCCTTGGGAGCCACAGAGCCAGGCAGGTCCTCCAGCAGGAGCCTGGAGATGTCAGTGAGGATCTTAGCCAAGGGCTTGATCACAGCAGCCACATCACACTTCTCGGGGACCAGCGCCTCTGAGCTCTCCAGAGGTGGGAGCAGGGGGAACTCCTGTGGGCAGACACACAGACACCCATGCACTAGCCTGGGGAGGACTACAAATCCATTTGCACACACCATCTGGGTGACAGGGCCATCTCAGCATCACCCACACAACTTTTCAGGGACCCTCCCCCAAACAGCTCTTCCCTACAGCCTCATCACATCCCTGAGCCAGGCTGAGGATGAGTTCTCCCTGGGTAAGAGGGTGAACATGACTCCGCTTTTATCAAACGGGTGAAGGGTTGGCAGTGACCAGGCACAGGGAGGGACACAGCACTGGGACAGTACCTGGAGGAAGGTCCTGTGGTTGGGGCAGGCCAGCAGGCTCTCAGCCTTCTCCCGGTGCTGGCCAAGGACATCCAGGCGCTCCTTCAAGAGGCTCCATTTCTCCGCCACACGCCCCAGTGCTGCCACCTTCTCTTGCTCGATCCTGGCTACTGTCCGATACTGGAAATCCTCCAGAGCTTCCCTCAAGTAGGTGAACTTGCTCTGAATTCCAGATTTGAGCTCCTCGGAGGAGTTCTGAGTGGGGAAGAGGCCTTAGAGCCAGTATGCTCCCACCCACATGCCCAGCACAAAGGTGGCCATGGCATTACCTTGATGCTGTGCGTTTGTTCCTCCAGCTTCTGCATTGCCTTCTCGATCCTCTCTGATTCCTCCTGGGCTTTCTCCAGGGACTCTTGCAAAAAGGTCTGTGGAGGGAGGCACCAACATAAAAACACAGAATTATTAGAAAAGATCTCCAGGATCACTGAGCCTAACCTTTGACTGATCACCACTTTGTCAACTAGACCAGAGCACTGAGTGCCACATCAGTTGTGTCCAGTTGCACACCCTGCAGTGCAGCTCACTGCTGCCCACCTGGCCCCTGGGAGCCCTCTCGAGGCTGCAGGACAAGGCTCACAGGGAAGGAGAAGGCTTGGGAAGGGGATGCTGCACCCAGGGTCACCGAGGAGTGATTTTCTATGCTTTCACCCCTTTTTTAGGTGTTTCTTCTAGAACAGAGAGTCACAAACTCTTATGGCATCATTCATCTGGTGCTGCTAGATTTACCCAGCTGCCTGCTGCTCCTGACTGCACCTGGTTTCCTCGGGAGCAGCTGGGCACTGGTGGCATCTTCCTGTGCCAGTTCTCAGAACAGACCGAAGCACATCACATCCCCGGGCAGGGCACGGGGCAGTGGAGGTGGATGTTGTGCCCTGCTCACCCTCCCTTTGCCC